CGGGGTCAATTTTCAAGAGACGATCGTTTTTCTTTGGTAAGCAAGTAATTGCAATCGCGTCACTATGGCAACGGCGTCTTGAACGTGACTGAAGAGGAATACGTGTAGGTAGATAGGATCTCGATAGTCCTCCAGATGGAAAAAACATTTCGTAGAAATAATACGGTACATTTTGAAAATGTCTTCCGGAGACCACCGGGGGGGAGGTGTAAGTCATCGAGGTCACGTGACTTAAGTATTGAGGGAGTAAGGAATTACGGGATGCAGTGAGATTAAATCGTGTCTTCTAGAAGAACCCAGGGGGTCCGAAAGCACGTGCCTGAAAATGGCCAATAGAACTTCTGCAGGTACGTATAACGGGTGTTGAAAAAAGTTTGAAGAATAAAAGGACTAGGAATATAGGACAAGAAGAAAAATGAATGCGTACGTTGACACCCTTTCTAAGTCTCGGGTGGTTCTCGGCCGAGTTTTTATACAAATGCTCATCGTGATCCCGGCCAACAGGATCAAGATCCTGGGCCAGGATAGGGGTGCAATATTCTGGGGCAGGAGGTACGTATATTGCTTCCTGGCAGGATACCAGAGTCCTCGGCCAAGAGTACAGCCATTTTGAATTTTACTGTAGAAACTTTCAGGGATCGTCACTACTTGGACCAACCCTCGTTTCAACTCTTAGCTACTGGCGCAGCTACTTTTGAAATCTTCCCCACAAAAAGACACTCGCTTATCGATCTCCTTCCTCTCTGTTTTTCATTTAAAAAAAAATTTTTTTTTCTTTCGCTATCTTCTCGTTTTCTCCCACTTACTCCTGGGGATATCGTGGAAAATGTTTGGACGATAAAAAAATATTTAGCCAGGATGCACGTCTCTCCGTGGGATACTGGCATATTCCTGTTGCAATTATCTAGGAGTGCTTGCGGGTAGATGAAAGGAGGGTGGTGCTACTAGGGGTTGTTCCAGGGGCGGAAAGCCAGGGGGCTATTTCGCCAGGTACACGGGACTACCTATACGTATAGTCCCTTGCAATACCAGTCGAATAAGAGGATACGGAGCGTGTCGCATAGTAGCAAAGACTCTCCCTTTATTGCTAAGGGAAACAAAGAATGGACAGCAATTGCACCCTTTGTATAGAAAAAATCTTTTCTTTTTTTACAGTCTGCATTTTTTACGTATTCGGGGATCTAAAGGCGTGGAACTTTAGTACGGTAAATTGACACTAAATTGGCGCTGGTTGTCGGTACGTAGCACGTGCAAATTTTAAATTCATCATTAAAATTTTTGTAAGTGCACAAAAATGGAACAAAGCTTCAGGATCCCGTTCCATCCACTGTCAAGGATCCAGGGGCGATAAGGAGAGCAAGCATTCAGAGTGGAACTGGCTTATTCAGCGGCGGTTGAGCTTTCCGCCTTTAAAGGCGAGTTCACATTGTGCGAGATCATTATACGCGAACCATAGGTCAGCATCGCCATCAAAGGCAAGCACGATAGGCGGTAATGACGCCGGAAAGGACTAAGGAATGGTCTTATTCTATATATCCGATAGCCAGGAGTCTCTTCTCGTCCAGGCTTTTTGGTGGCGGGCCATTCGAGAGTTTAGGTTGGGTTAGGTTAGGCGGGATTTTAAGGGTGGACGACGAAGGGTCGTAACCTACGTAGAACGTCGGTTCGGAGGCCAGCAGCTTTCCTCCCTTGAAATAAGGCCCTTCAAAGGGAATCCTGAAGGAGCGGGTATCGCGTGCTGCATAACCAAAGAAGAGGTTTGGGGTGACTGAAAAAAAAGCAGTGAAAAAAGAAACTAACAAAATTCTCCGTTCCCCCTTTCATTACTTCTTCACCCCCCCCCCCCCCCCCCCC